TGCTTCTGACTGTACCCAGTGCTTGTATAAATAAATAAATATTAAAAACAAAACAAAACAAAACACAAATTTAAGTTCCTGTTCTCATTGTAGTAGTCAGATGACTTGATTAGGATCCTTTTTCTGATGTTAAATTCTTTTATAGGAAAGTAGTTGCATGTTATTTCTGAGGTGTAAGAAAAAAAAAAGGCCCATAATATATTTAGAAATTAAGATCATTAATATAAACTAAAACTACAGAGATTGTATTTATAGGATACTTTAAAGGTAGTAATCAGTAGGATAAGTCTAATCTTCTATTTTGTTAATTTAAAAATATCTGAATTAAAATATAGAGAGGCAGTAAATCAGGATGTGTAGATAGCTAGAATGCAAAAGGACTTGGGCGAGGAGAAAAACAGGCAAAAAATAATAAAATGTTCTTCCTATATCTGGGAGTAGTAGGTATACTTATTCTTTACTAATGGTGAAAGCAAGCAATTTGAGATTTGCCTCTTGTAATCCTGGCTCCGTGTTTCAGCACACTTCCATGGTGTCCTGTGATTACCTGGGCTGTCTTGGGTCTCTGTAACCCAGGTGTGTCTCATCCTTCCTGAGGTCAGATCAGCTGAACCTGAATGTATTTCAGCTACAGAAGTTGGTAATTTTCTGGGGTCCAGGTGGTGAGTCTTTTGCTTCAAAGTCATTTTATAGGAAATGAAGCATCTGTTTGAATTCAGAAGAAATCGTTTTACTTTATCAGCCTGTGGTAGATAGCAGACAAATTGTGTTCATTTTTGCTTTATACATTTTGTGGAAAGAAGATTGTCTCTTCTTTCAAATATGATAGGATAGCTATAGAACATTTTTCATTCATTCATTGAGTGCCTACAGAGTATGTTATGGTATTCTGAAATCAAGATTCTTTGAACAATTTACTTTATATTTCATTTAAACAGATGATCTCACTCATAATAGGAATCTAGAAAACCTAAATAAGGGACCAAGAAAAAGAATAACTATAAGAAAGAAAAAAATCAAAATCAACAAACAACTATGAACCAGAGACACACTTTGGGGGGGAGGTGGGGAAAAGAGGCATTGGGGTCAAAATCAGGGGGTTGCAATTGTATGGGGAATATAAAAATTAAAATAAATAATCTAGCAAATGAAATGTTTCTTTTGTTACATAAGAAACACATGAGACATATGGGACCCCATAGAGTTCTTCCAAATGCAATTTTTGTGGCTGGTCTGAGAGTGTCATGTCTGAAACTCTTGTATAGGACCCTGAATATAGGCTCTGCATTAGCATCCTAGTCTACGACAAGTTTAAGACAAGTTTCTCCCTCTCTTTTTGTGGAATCATTTACAGTGCAAAATGGACAGAGGTATTCTTCTCCTCATCCCAGCAGCTTTGCTTTGGTAGAAAATAAGGGGTGAATATTCACATTGATGTTTTACAGAGCTAGCGACATGGACATGCAAAGTGTGAAGGGCCCATAGTCCCTGTTCTTTGTTTAATGCTCTGCTGTCACCATTTTGAAACCCTTAATAATTTATGAACAAGAGGCCCTGGTGTTTTCATTTTGCAATAGGCTCTGCAAATTATTCTGCTGGCCCTGCCTATGGAACACTTGTTCTTCTTGGCAACACTGGTCTCCCTTTGGCCTCCAATTGTAATATGACAACATGTCCACTCTCTCTTCAAACCAAAGAAATAAGCAAATAAGAACCTTTTGGTTGCTGTTGACTGAATGTTTTTTTTTTTTTTAATTAACTTCTCAAATGCTATTTCTTATGGTAGATTTATGACATTGATTTTTAATACAGCTATAAAAAGTATCCAAGTAGATTTCTAACTGCATAATTCTTTGGTGGGTTTATTGTCATTTATAGTTTATACTAATTAAGTCAATATTTGTAATAGTGGTTTTATTCATTTTTGAGACAAGTATACTGCTTCATTTATGTTTTCTACAAAGTAAAGTTTGGGAAAAGTTTGCCTTGAAATGTGTTTTCCTATCTCTATCTTGAATAATCAGCAGCTTTTTGCCCAAATCTGTGCAATTTAGCTTTATGTTTTAAATTGGGGCATAATTAGAAACAAATTCTGTTGTCGTTAAGTAAAATATTTCACCTGGAACCTGATGAAATTAAATGATGACATTCTAAAGCATACTCATCAACACCTACAGACCTATTAATCATTTTTGAAATATATTTTCTGCTTCTTTGGTACCACCCAATATGTTATTTCTTACAGCTGTGCCAGGACCTTTGTGCCTCCTAAGTAAATGGACTTTCCATTTCTCTTTAAGTTTTTCTAGAAGTGCTAAGTGTTTGCTCACTAGCTTTTAAAGTGGGTTCCAAAACTTTTTCTTTACATATATTGAAAAAAAAATTCAAAGGGCCATGTTTCTTTGTTCTTATCCAAGCCCACAATTAGCTGAAGTTCCATTCTGTGTATCTAAAAGGAGGAGGAAAGGGGTGAACCAACAGGCATTTTACTGCCAGTGAGAAAGTGCTCTGAGAGTTTCTTTGTCCCTTTTGTCAAGGATGGCTGCCTCCCTAATTGTACTGTTGTGGGGAAGCACGTGCCTGTGGGAGCATTATCTGATCCCTACAGGACATTCAGGAGTGCTTTGTATACTGACCCTTAACTTGAACACACATAATATCTTTTCAATCCCTTTCCTAGGTTGTTGCCGCAGGCTTGGATTCCTAAGTGTTTTAGTTCAGTCGTGGGTGTTGGATGCATTTGCACCAAACTTGGCTTTATGTTTTTTTCTCCCCTAGTTGTCTCACCTGTAGTTTTGTTGCACCTGTCAAAAGGGAAAGCTGAAGATGGAGGATAGATGAATAAGAGCTGTAGCAGTTAAAGGGGAGAGAGGCGAGACAAACAGCTGCTCTTGTCAGCATGAGGATAAGTGTAAAGAGATTAATAGTTATTTGGAGAGCAAATGGGGACATGGCATTCAGCAGTGGAATGTGAAAATATAAATGTATTGGAATGAGCATGCGACTGTTAACATTTAGACACATGCTCTCTGGACTGAATGGAATGACAAAGGCCATTTCTCCTCCCCATGTGAGATATTTAAATTATAATAAAGTGATTTTATAATCACATATATTTTAATTAAAATTTTTTCAAGCATCTCTTTTTATTTTTAAAAATTTATTTATTTATTTATACAAGCACTGGGTACAGTCAGAAGCGTAGGAGGGTGAGAGAATTCACCAGAGCCAGAGGGGAGAGCAGAGCAGGCAGTAGGACCGAAGTACACTGCTGAGGGGAGCAGCAGTCGGCAGGAGAGGACTGCGCGTCATGTGGGACCCTCGCCCATAGGCCGGGGATTGAACCAGCGCTGCAGAGGCTGCAGGCAGCTTCTCAACCCAGCACTCAACCACTGCACCACTGGGGAGGCCCTCAAGCATCTATTTCTATGTGGGTTTGTCCTGCATAGTTTTCCTTGGTCTTGGGCTCTCAGAGTTAGGTCACCTGAAGACTCCTCATCTCCTTCATAAACTATGACCAGTAGGATTGCCTTCCTCTTCTTGGTATTAACTTATTTTCCCTTGAATAACCTGAAAATACTGTGAGATTTCTATGTGTCAAAAAGTTGTACACTCCCGGTGGCACAGAGGTTGAGCGCTGGATTGCGAATCTGCCCGCAGCCTCTGCAGTGCAGGTTCGATCCCCGGCTGCTCCCTGGCCACCAGAGGAGGGTCCCACATGGCGCGCAGAACTCTCCTGCCGCCCGCTGCTCCCCTCAGCAGTGTACTTCGGTCCTTCTGCCTGCTCTGCTCCCTGCTCTGGCTCTGGTAAATTCTCTCACCCTCCTGCACTTCTGACTATACCCAGTGCTTGTATAAATAAACAAATAAATCTTAAAAAAAAAAAAAAGGTTATACAAAGGGAAAATCATTTCATAGACTGTTGGCTCCTTCTGGAAATGTGTCCAATTTGATTCAAATTTAGGAATGACTAGAGTTATCTCATCAGGCTGACATGTGTTGATGGCCTAGACAGAGCCCCAGACTAGGAATCCAAAGATTTGGTTTCAAACCCCACTCGGCTTATTAACCAGTGCTTGAACAAATCATTTCCCCTCTCTTATAGTAATGCAATAAAGTTGTTTTGCATGTTAAGTGACAAGAAATTAATCCATGCTTTTCATAAATATCTTAGTGAGTATCTACTGTGTATTTGGTTCGAGTAGAAGAAATAAAAGGATCTGTCAGAGGAACTACATGAGATAATGTACTTCTGAATTATAGCAAAGATGGAATTTTAATTATAGTTAGATGGTATTTTTCTTAGACATTTTCTACTTTAGAAAAGAATAAACTGCTACAAAGAAAATGAAAGAGTGGATAAAAAAATTAGTCTGTATTCAGATGACATTAATATTTTGCCTTTTAAATTTAGTTGGCTCTCTCTAAGTTGCTACCCTGGCCCATCGCATTTTTATGAAACTACTCTTTGTGGAACTCTTGGTATCCTGAGACAAGAGTTAGACTTATAAGACTCGAGGGAAATTTGCAGGACATCTACTATTGCCCCATATACAGCACTTCGATCTTTAAACACACTTGAGGACATTCGTATTCAGTGGTCTCTATCATCCTGAATACCATTTAGAAGATAATGTAAAGTAATAGCAGATGGTACTCATTTATTTTAAAAGAAATCCTAAGCAGCTACTTAGTACTGGACACTTCTGCCGCTTTGTGAATAAGCACATATTCTACTTTCAAATGGCCTTAAGGATGCCACAGTCACCAAGGGATATACAGAAGAGTTCTATGATTTGTAAAGCTGAATTGCAGAACTCACACGCTGGAGAATTCTCTTGGTGTTTCCGTGCATCACAGATTGATCATTTTACCTCCCAGGTGAAGTGGTATGGACCCCGGGTGAATCGCTACAAAATGTATGCACCATATGATGTTTTACATGGAACAATGATCTGTAGCTTAAACAGTTAACACTGCCCCTTCTGTGTGTCCTGCAGCCACAGTACACAAACCTGGGGCTCCTGAACAGCATGGACCAGCAGATTCAGAACGGCTCCTCATCTACCAGTCCCTACAACACAGACCACGCGCAAAACAGCGTCACTGCGCCCTCGCCCTACGCGCAGCCCAGCTCCACCTTCGATGCCCTCTCGCCGTCGCCCGCCATCCCCTCCAACACCGACTACCCGGGCCCACACAGCTTCGATGTGTCTTTCCAGCAGTCCAGTACCGCCAAGTCGGCCACCTGGACGGTAAGAGAACTGGGCACACACGTGCCCTGAAACCTGACCTCCATCTCCAAGGGTTGTCTCTGTCATCCTTTTCCTGTCTTTTTTTTTTTTTTAAACAAGGATGTTCACTGTGGTATTTTTTTTTTTTAAGTTTGATAATACTCTTTTTTTTAATAATAAATTTTATTTTTATATTCCCCATACAATTGCAACCCCCCCATTCTGACCCCAATCCCTCCCCTCCCGCCTGTCTTTTAAGGAAATTTTGTGTTTGACTATTTAAATCTGAACTGGTGGAATAAGAAAAAAGAATCATTTAGTGAGAAAGGGCCTGATCTGGGAACCAAAGTCTTCCTTCTGGCCTTGTTGGCCTGCCCCTAGCAATTTGCACTTAGGTGTTCTGACCAGCATCACACCATTAGGTGCTACGTTGTGTGGAATAGTTACCAGTCTCATTTTAAAGAAGTAAATGTCACATTAAGGTGCAGTTTTTTTTAATGAATAAAATCACAGACTTGGAGTAATAATAAATTAAGAAATTAAAATCTCATTTATTAGGAAAAATTTGTTTATACTATTGGAACTATAAGTCAATACATTGTATTGATACATATATAGTTATTACATTTAGAAACATTTTACCCCCAAAAGCCTCAAAATTGATGTATCATGGATCTTAATTAATCTAAAACAATTGATTAAAAATGTTAAACAATCTTTCTATGCATGAGTTTTCAAAGAAAACATAGCAATATTTTCAAAAATTGAAAAGGTTCAAGAATGTTTATTGTATTTCAATGTTTATTTTGTAATGCAATATAACATGAATAAAACTCAAATATAAGGGAGGAGACCTACAAGACTGGTTTTAGCTGGGTGATCAAAGAACACCCAAGACCAAAATGGCATGCATATTTATCAAACAATTTAATGTTTGCATGAAGTATGGAAATGTTTCTAAATAACACCATCTTGTTGAATTGTTTTAATAAATATTTCCCTCTTTGGCAAGTAGCGTGTTTTTGTAAAGCATTTCTAGGTTTTTTTTTTTTGTTTGTTTGTTTTTGTTGTTTTTTTTTTATGTTATAGTTTTTGGTTCACCACAGGCTTTAATCCAGTTGTCCAGAGTTTATAGAATAATTTTATTTCATAACACTTATTACATTCCAACATAATTTCACATATGTACCCTCATTTGACCTTATTTCTTTGTCAACTGGGTAGGACAAGCCTTATAACTAGTAAAATGAGGAGACATAAAGCCTGTGAAGGTTCGGTGACATTTCTAAAGTTACAATGGGTTTTGTGTAGCTAGACCAATTTTTGATTCTGCCTATCCACATTACTTTTCAGCGTTTTACAGGATGTTCCAAACTGTGGAACATTTTACAGATGTTCCAAATTATGATTTCTTTAGTGTTTTCCTGTTATATTAGAGATGAAGCTCAATCATGTTACATATTCTAATCATAAAGTCTAAGTATTAGCTTTAACCTTGATATGACCCCTTTTTGTGTTATTTCTCAATTGTTTCATATTTAATCTCTTATTAATTAAGGAGATGGACACTACAGTGAGTAAACTTAGAGTCTCTGTGCCTTTAATAAATATTGGTTGACTGAATGATATAATATTTTGTTGAAGAACTGACTAGAATAGTCATTGGGTAAATGGAACACTGAGGTATCTTAGGAGTCACCAATTGGACATTTATAGTCCCAGATCTTCAAGGCTAATGGTTTCTTTTTTTTTTTTTAAGGTTTATTTTATTTTTATGCATACAAGAGTTTGGGTACAGACCAGAGGTGCGGGGCGGGGGTAAGGGGGTGAGAGGATTCACCAGAGACAGAACAGGGAACAGAACAGGCAAACTGACTGAAATACATTGCTGAGGGGAGCAGTGGGCATGACAGGAGAGGTTTGCTGTGCCATGTGGGTTGCTTGCTGGACAGGGATCGAACTTGTGCTGCAGTGGCTACGCTTAGCTTCATAGGTTGTGTCTTAACCCCTTGCGCCACCAGGGAGGTCCATGAAAGTTTCTATAATGTTATCTCAAAGGACTATGGGAGTGTTAGGTCACTAAATGGATCATAATTTCCCTTCTAAAGTGGTTTAAAAATCATTGGGATCAAGCTTGATTCAAGTATAATATCAAATTCTCCCTTCTTCCTTCCTCTGTACAAACTGATAAGAATAAAAATGAGTATGTGAAAATAACTCTTTATTAGGATGACACAGAAAAATTTAGAAGAAGTTAATTTCTAATTAAATATCTTCCCTGCTGTTGATGAATGGTCATGCTTAGGTGTTTAGACTGTTTTGCTTTTCTTTGGTTACTATTCAGTTATCTACATTCTACTCTATAGATTTTATAGAATAAGGTGATTGAATTTGATGTTCATTCAATTCTACTGGTGCTTCACATTCTATTTGCATCTTTATTAAAGTTCTTTCTTGTGCACAATCAGATTTATTTCTTTTAAATCTAGGGCACTTGAACCCTTATCTGAGTTGCTGCTGAGATTACCTAAAAAGATACAAGTTCTTAGCCAAGGACAACATTATTGCTGTACATGACAGCTTTTAACTCTTTGGGCCAAATTACATCTTGTCACATTTATAGAGACCTCATATTTTAAAATAATATTTTCTCATACCTCTATCAGAGTTGAGCCATGCAACCCAGACTGTTATCCTTACTTTTATAAATGTGGAAATTTTGAGAGGTAAAGGTTATTTGGTTTAATAACCAACCAAAGAGTGAGAAGAACACTGGCCCCACTTAATCCTCTTGCAAGTCTCCCCATGGTTCTATCCAGAATGTATTTCCTCAAGATTGATAGATTGCAGGACGTACATGAACAGACAGGCCTTGTGCAGTAGGGAGCTGAAGCCCAACTGATGGAGGACCAATTTTTATGACATACTACACAACACCTATTTCTCAGGCATCTGTGCATTTTAAAGCAAGTTTTTCAAAATAAAATGCTGTATTTCAAAACTGCCCACAAACTAGAAGCATAAGTAGCTGTCATTAGGAAGAGGCCACACTTGCTGCATAGTCTTCTGGTAATTCTTTAATAAAAATCTTTTTAGTACCATTTTATCACTTGTCATCTTTTCGTGTTGAGTTTACTCTTCATTTCTGGTTTTACTCAGAATTACTGCCAAAATGTAGTTAATATATTTAAAGAATATATGCATACTTTCTTTGCTTTCTCTATATTTTAACTAATGAATGTGATTATGAGTCCAGTTCCATAAAAATATGATCTTTATTTTAAACTTCTTCCAGTGAAATAAAGTGGTGTGTTAACATTTTTTCCTTATTTTGTATTTGACACACACACAGATCAACACTGAATTTAGGATTTACTGTCAGACTTTCCCATTTCTACAATGTAATTGCCACTAGCTATAAAAGCCTACAATTTAATTTAAGGAATTGCTGGGCTAGTGTCTAGTATTGTAACTGGGAATCATCAGCCACAGGCCAGTTGACAGAACAGTAATTTGGAAACGGCAAGAATCTTGGATGCAGATTTCAACTCTTGAGTTTAATAGCAGCATATAGGACCTGCCCAAAGAAGTGAGTCTCTAAACCTTACTTCCCTCACCTCCCAATGCGGATGTTAACACTTTCCTCATCATGAGGATTGCACACTGTGTAAGTGTACCCAGCACTGGCTAGTCATAGACACACATATATTTATTGAGTCACAATATGAATCCCTTTGTTTCATGAGTGTATTATAGTTTTGTGGAGTGTTCAGTCATACAGCAAGCAATAATTTGAAGAAAGGAAAACAAAATGCCTTCTACCTTTTTTTTAAATTATTATTATTATTCTCAGTGCTTTCAGACTATGAGCATGCACACTCTAACCCCAGGGACTGAGATGCTATTCATTATCCAAACATATGACTTTGGATGAGAACAGGCTCTCCTGTAGACAGACTTCTGCCCGCTGACTGTGCACCTCCCCTAAACCTGCCCATGCAGATGCAGGCTTTCCTTGCCACATGAGGAAGTGCCCTTTTCAGAAGCGGGGATCTGTTGACTTCTGACATTTATTTTTCATTTTTAATATGTATCTTCATTTGTGAAGGTTTAGTCTCCATGTTAAACAGAGGATAACAGTTTATTAAAGAGTTAGCATATTAATTTGTTTCTATGTTAGCATATTAATTCGCTTTTGGAGTTGCTGGCGAAGAGAAGATAAGGTTTCTGTAGTACCTACTTGATAGTACTGGGAAGGACACCACTTCTGGGGGCCGCACATTTTCTTTGTTGGATTTGATTGTCAGAGGCCTCTTTCTGAACATAGGTCAGTCTGTCTGAACATTAGCTACTTGTACTTTTGTCAGTTTCAGAACTATTTCTTCACAACCATGTGCAAACACTCTGACAGTCCTCTGGTTAGTATATTTCTCTGGTATTCCCACATGACCTCCCACAGACTGTGGGAGTACAGAGCCCTTTTTGCTATTGTGTCTTCCTCCCTTCATAGACTTTAAGGTCTTGTGGGACAGGCACCCTGTTCTGTGCCCAGTACAATGCCCAGCCTGTGATCTGTCCTTAATCAATAGTAACATTTTGCTTTCATTTTATGGTTAAAGGAAACCTCTATAGTTCTAAGCAGTGCCCTCAGTTCTAACCTGGTTAGTTAACTGTCCATGAACTTGATCCCATTTTCCTTGATCCCATGATTTATAGAGAGCATTCTTCCTTTGCCTTTCCTAATCATGCCAGCCTCGTGTCATGTTCGGGACTTTGAAGAATCTGACTTGAGCAAGTGGAGAGATTACTGAGGTGGCATTTGAAAGGGGAACAGCCAGTTCCCAGTGAGTTTCATTGATCCTAGCATATTGGTCTTGCAATCTCGTTCCCCTTGACTCCTCAGGCAAGCTGAGATGCATGCCTATGGCCCACCCTCACTGTCATCAGGTTACCTGTAATGTAAGACTTCCAGAATAAGGCTGCCAGCTCTGCAGAAATCCAATGCAAGCCAGCCCATTGCG